GGACGCAGAACGGTGGCGGCCGCGCTGGCGGAAGCGGGCGGAAGGGCAGGGCGAGGTGGCGGGGGTAAATATCAGATTTCCGATGTTCATCGTGCTAGGGGGGTCCGGGTTCTTGGGTCGAGGGGGCGAGCAAAACATTCTCCAGCAGTCATGCGCTGCAAGACGTGGTAACGATGCTTACCTCAAGTGGTGTTCACGCTTGAACTACGTAAGCATTCCATATGTTACCCCACGTGGTTTCTGCATCATGCGGGGACATGCGGCGGAATAAAACACTACTTTCGAGCGACCCTTTCTTCCTTTCCGTCATTTTCGCTCCAGTTCTCCCGTTTCCGATTTCGATACGGATTTGGCGTTTGTGCTGGCAGTTTCCGATTTGGTCCTGACGTTTCGATGTTGCAGTTGTTGCTTGCCATTCCGATCGACGGGTCGATCATATTCGACTTATCGACGCGATATTGCGGGCACTTGAGCGACGCAGATAAACGGGGGCGTCTGCGCCGACATTGGCGCGTAAACTGGCCGCGTAGAGTCGCGCATAAGCGCCCTCGTCTCCAATGTGGCGGGCCGCGCGGGCGGTCCGCGTAAGCCGCCGCGTAAGGTCGCTACATCATGTTGGGTAAGACCCGTGTTTGGTCGTCGCTCACCAGCTGTTGTTGCCTCCAGCTGTAAACGCAAAGGGGTACTTCGAGTCTGTGCAGCAAGCGCCTTGGTTGGCGGGTGTCGTGCAGGGAGCAAGAGTCGGGCCGTCCTTCGCCAGGCGGTGGGCGGGTGGATAGCATCGGTCTGAGTCTAGGCCTTCCAAGTGGGGTCCGAGCAGATGGGTTCGGAGGGTCGCGCCGCATCGCCGATGCATCGACGATGCGGCTCGATGTGGGGCCCGATTGTCTGCACGCCGACAGCGCCGACGCATCGCTGGCGTCGCCGATGCATCGCCGAAGCATCGCCGATGCATCGTCGATGTATCGGAGATGCACTGTCGATGCGGAACCCATCTTGGTGGCGTCTTATTAGGGGGGTGCGGTTCACGTGGGGAGGCCAGGACGGACCGTCGGTCGGGATTCGGGGGGGGGCGGACAATTTTACTGAACATCCTGACCACTCGTGGGGTTGTGGCGTGAGCAAGGGCATGGACAAAACGTCGGTCGCCTGTGTGGGGAGAGGGCCGGTCGTGGACGTCGTCAGGGGCTAGGATGGAGGGAAGGGCAAGCTAGGTGCGTTGGCGTCACATATCTGCCGTCCTACCCCTCCCACCCTTTCCTTCCAATTGCGCTGACTTTTTTCTGTATATCCGCCGACGCGTGTCAAAGCGGACCTGGAACTGGAACAAAAGGTTCCATCGTGTTATGCGCAATCGGAAACGGGAGCGTGCACTGGAGGAGGAGGTGGCGGATGAGAGGGAGGATGGACGCGAAAAACAGGAGGAAGAGGAGGAAGAGGAGGAAGAGGAGGAGGAGGAGGAAGAGGAAGAGAAGGAGGAGGAGGAGGAAGAGGAGGAGGAGGAGGAGAAGGAGAAGGAAAAGGAAAAGGAGGAGGAGGCGAGCGAGGAGGAGGACGGATGAGGAGGAGGAGGACGGAGGAGGACGGAGGAGGACGAGGAGGAACAGCAGCAGCAGGAGCAATGTGGGAGAATCTGAAGGGGCAGGATGACCAGGAGAACACGGGGGGGGGTGAAAGGAACATGGCGACAATGATGGGGAAACGCTCGGATCCGGGAAAGTGGTCCGCGCTGGGGCCAGATGCCATTCTGAACGACGGGGCAAAGCGCCGATCCTAAACTGAGGCCTGCGTTGCAACGGGAACGCGATGTTGAAGGACCAGAAGCTCGGAAACGATGCCAGCGCTGCAGCGGGAACATCATTTGTAAGAACCAGAGATGATCGGCTTGCACATTAACATACTACGCACAAGCTCCGGAAAGTTGTGTATGCAACAGTGCGCGGACACGGCGTACTATCTCCTGGACATGGTCGGAGGAGAAGAGGGGAATAGTAAGTAATCATAATGTGTTACAGTGGAGGAGGGAGGGGACGGGAGAGAAGGGGAAGTGGGGGGAGGAGCAGCACGAAGGAGGAGGAGGAGGAGGAGGCCCCCGAGCCTTTGGTCGAGGCCTGTCCGACCTCGGCAGGCGCGCGCCCCCGTCTCCAGTAGCTCCAGGAGCGCGCGGATGGCCTGCAGCGGCCCCGGCGGCTCCGGGAGAGCTCCCCCGGGCCAGCTCCCCCGGGCCGGCGCTGTTTGGGCCGTTGCTTCTGCGCGGAAGGCAGCCTCGGCAGCCGCAGCCTTGGCGCGCGCGTCCTCCAGGGGGGAAAAGTGCGAGAGCAGGGAGCGCTCCAGGCGACGGCTGCGGCACGCGCGGCCGCCGCCGCCGCCGAGCCAGCCCCCGAGCCACCCGACCTGGACGCCGCGCTTGGGGGCGGCGCGGGCCCTGGCAACCCTGGTCCGACGCGGCGGACGACGCAAAGGCCGCCGCCAACCAGGACAGCCAGACGTCCGCGGACGTGCTCATGGACGAGCTGGACCAGACAGAAGCGGACGACGACGCCGGGTTCCTGGTGGTCGCCCGCCGCCTGCGCGGGGCCCGCCGGGAGACGGCCGCGGCCTCCGCGCCGGAGCCTGGCCTGGCGGCTCGCCGCCGCAGCCGCAGCCGGGCGGAGGGCCGTTGAGGCGGCTATGCGGTTGCACCGGCGTGCGGGTAGGCGAGGCCAGCCGCTCCGGGGTGGCAACAGGGGGGCGCTGAGCTGCCCAGCTTGCGATGGGCCGCTGCGCGCAGGGCGGGCCCTACGCGGAGACGTTCTCGCCACCTGCGGGGGGGGGCCGGGCCGGGGGGTTGGCTCCACCGCTGCGGGGTTTGCGAGCGCCTGGTCTGCCGGGGCTGCGCCGCGGCCGCGGCAGGCCGCCGTTGCGGCCGCCGCCGAGACGCTGCCCGCCCTTGCTACTCTCGCCTTCCAGGGCCTCGCGGCCCCCTTGCTAAGCGGGGCTCGACGGCGTCGACCTCCTGGGCGAGTTCGCGCTGGACTGCCCCGCGCTGCGGGTCGTCGTCCCCGGGCGAGCCTGGGCAGCGGCCGCGCAGGCCACCGAAAAGCTCTGCAATGCGATCCTCCGCGCTCCAGCCGGGAGCATGGAGGAGCGAGCCTGGAAACTCCTCGCGCTGCGCGATCGCTTGCTTTTCGCTGCCCCTCTCTTGCGCGGCGCGAACGGCCGGCCGCGCGCGGCTGCTGCTCGCGCGCGAGCGGTGCCCTTCGCTTCTCCGGGGCGGCTGGGGAACGCTACTGACGACAGCCAAGGACGCCGCCCCGGGCGTGGCCAAGGCGCGCCGGAGGGCAGGCGGGGCCGCCCAGAACGACCGCTCTCTCGCCGAGGAGGTGCTCCGGAAAGCGATGGCCGTGGAGTACTCCCGAGCCGCCGCGCTGCTCTCCAGCCCAGGCCTCGCGCCACTGACCGCCGAAACGGCCGGGCAGCTCTGGCCAGGCGCTCCTCCTGCCGCGCCCCGCTGCCGCGCTGCCCCAGGCGGCGGCGCCCCCGGCCGGGCCGCCGCCGCTCCCCTGCGGGCCTTGAAGAGAGCAAGCACATCAGGAGGAACCCGCGGGGCAGCAGGGCAGCCGCCGGCGGCGGGGGGTTCGAGCACTGGCGGGCCGTGCTCGCCGAGCGGGCCGGGCGCTGGCGGCGCTCCGTAAGCGCGAACTGGCCGAGGCCTTGGGGGGGGGCCTTTGCGCGCGACTGCGGGCGTGGGGTTCTCGGCGCACGCGGCGCGGGCTTGAGCAGGGGCCAGCCCCGCGGCCTGGCGGCGGTCGCGCTGAACGCCAAGAACGCGCGCTGCTCCGCCGACCAAGAGGCCTGCTCGCGGGGGCTGGAAGACGCGGCGCCGGCGCCGCTGCCCCGCGCCAACCTCGTCTGTCGCCGCGAGCCCCTTTTTATTATTTTGGGGCGCGGCCGGTTTCTGCCGCCGACTGCGCCCCGCTGGTGGGGCGGGCTCGGGGGGCCCACTGGCGCCGCTGCTCTTTGCTTGCGGGATGCGGGCTCGCCCGCGCGCGCCGGAGGAAGCTTTGCTGGCGGCCGCGGAGCAGCGGGGGCTGAGGCCAGGCGACGCGCGCGCCTTCGCCTACCTCGACGACGTCGCCGCGCCGGCGCCCGCGGCGCTCGCGGGCAAAGCGCAGGCGGCGGCGCGGGCTGCCTTCGCAGACCTAGACTTGGAGCTGGAGCCGCGGAAATCGCGGGCCTGGCCCTCGGGCGCGGCCTGCCTGAATGGAAAGTCAATGGCGCGCGGGGGGCCTCGCCCTCGCGAGCGCGCCGCAAGGATGGACCGCAAAAAACAGCGAGTCCATGCTGAGGGCCCTGGGGCCAGAAGACAGGGCGCCCCCCCGCTCTTGCGGCGGGCCGCGCGCCGCCGAGCGGCAGACTGCCTCGCTGGGGCGGCCCCGCAAGCGACTGGGCGACGCGGGGAATGGGCCACCGCCCGCGCCCTCCTCGGGCAAGACGCGGCGCCGACTGGGGCAGCCTGCTGCAACCGCGCCAGGGCGGGCGAGCGGGCCAGCCAGCGCTGCGGCGGGGCGTTATGCAGCTGGGCTGGGCATATGGGCCTCGTTGAGTGCATGGTGTAGATGTGAGCGGATGGATGTTCGGCATAGGTTGGTTGCGCGCGCGGCACAACGACGTATAGTTTGCGCGTGGGCTAACCAGAAGCCGCTCGCCCTAAACACTTTTCCCGCTGAGACCAGTTGGCCGCCGAACGTGCTTGAACGTCGGCGGGGTAGCACGCGACATGCGCTTTCGCCCGCGTCCAGGATACCTCGCGCAGCCAAGACTTCGGCAAACGTTTCGCAACCCCTTCGGTCCAGGAAAGAAAGGGCTTCGCTGACCGACCTACACGTAGCGCGCTAATCAATGGTCACCCCCCTCTGCATCATACGCGTGCTACTCGATCACACACTGGCAGGGGAAATGCGCGACGGGTAAGTAGGAAACCGTCAAACCAAGATCAGCTAGATGTTTGTTATTTTGCCATGTTACTTCGCGTCCACTTGCGCTCGTGAGCGCCACGTGTTGGCGCGGTTGTCTGGCCACGTCTTGCGCCGCCGCCGCGATTGGCGACGCTGTCGAGAAGCGCGCGCCGCAGATCAATGAGACAATCGGAGAGCCCGACGGCGTGGAGAATTGCCCGCTGGCGGCTACCAAAGCCCTTTCCCACGACATTATCAACCAGCCCATTGCGTGCAACTCGGAAACCATGTTGAGGGCCCTCAGCGACCAGCTCGGAGTTCACCCCCAGACCGTTTCACCATGGGAGTCGAAGCCTTCGATGTCCATGAGTTCTTCATGGATATTGGCCGGGGCCCGGCGCTTCGCGGCCGCCCCTGCGGGCGCGCCAGAGCGCGAAGGGCGGCTGAACATCCAGGCGCGGCTCTTTGATGCGAGCGACGGCCATCTTGCAAATGCGGGTCCTTCCGAGCCCCCTTTTCCGACGGTGACGCGCGGCCGCGCGCTCCGAGGGCTTCGCTGCGTCAAGCGCGGCGCTGACCACTCGGGCAAGGGGCGCCGAGTGCGCGGCGGCCACGGAGCAGGGATTAGAGTGGGTCGTGGCACGGCACCATGTCGACAAGGCTTGCCAAGGCCTCGCGCGATTTCCCAGGCCGCGGGGAACGCAGGCCACGGGGCTGAAAGCCAGCGCGCGCACGTGCCAACGTTGTTGCCAATCCACCAGAAGGTCACTCGCAAGTCGAGGCAGCCCCCCGCAGACCCTGGCGCCATCTGCGACGCCATCGCCGCGGAAATCGAGCGAGCGCGCCCTCTCCCGAAGGGGCAAGTGGCTGACGCGCGACAGTTCGTTCGGTGCAGCTCAGGAGGCGAGGGCGCGAAGTTCCCCGGCGACTTGGGCGCCCACTCGAAGTCCTGGGCCCCCCGAGGCGACGTGCCTGGGACACTTTTCAAGGCCTTCTCCCAGGCCGAGCTCGCGCAGGGGCCCGAATACATGATGTCTCGCATCATGGCGCCCTTTGTGGCGCCAGGTGGCCGCGCGCAGGAGCGCGCGGCGCGGCTCCTTCAGTCGGCCGATGCTGCGACCATCGGCGCAAACAAAGTTCGCGTGCTTGGAGGCAGTGGAGTTCATCAGGGCGGCGAAGGCCCACCTCGCCAAGGTCGATCTCCCAGCCGCCGTGAAGACGCGGCTTCTCGGGGAGACGCAGGCGCGCTTCGCCGCGCACATCCACCAGAAGAAGTGCCGCGGGAGGAGGGAGTTCGAGTCCGCGCTGGAAATCGCGGGCACCTTCCCTGCGGAAGTTGTCAAGCTCGCCCCAGTGGCCAGCCGACTCGCGCTGCCTTGGGCTGCAGCGGGGGCTAAACCAGAGCAGGCGCGTTCGCGGCCCGCGCGCGGGCGCAGCGGCGGCCTCGTGGAGTTCGCCCAGACGGGGGTTGGGGCCGCGACGGCGGCGGACGGCGTCGCGGCTGGGGCCTTGATGTCCAGGGTGGGCGCTGCGGAGACGACCTGCGAGATCCCGGAGATCAAGGGCGAAGTGCGCTTCCTGGCGCAGCTGCGTGGCAGGGGGGGCCATCGAGGTGCAGTCGAGCGTCCTGCTCGGACTACAAGGCGACAGATTTGACTGCCGGTCTGATCCGCGGCGCTCGGAGAGGAGGCGGGAGACGACGTTTGACCCGCGGCTTTTTTTTTTGGGGGGGGGGGCGCGGGGGGGGCGCGCAGGCGCGCCGGCAGGCACGCGAACACGATTTTACATGTTCACCCTGCGTGGCAATGCCGCGCACTAATCTGCATATTCATGTCCGCGTGGTCCCATGTCATATCCCTCGTCGCCGCTCCCTCCCCATCCTCGCCCTCATCCTTCCGACCCCGAAGCTCAACCCTCAGCATCTTATTATTATTTTGTATCCTCCCCTGTTCATCACCTCTCCTCCACAGCCCCCCCCCCCCATTCCCCCTTCCACCCCCCCCCGCCCTTTCGCCCCGCAGATGGGGGGGCCGACGTCGAGCTCTCGTCTGTGGCGGCGCGCGCGCAGCCGAACCTCGTGGAGCTCCCGCCCCAATCGTCTCCTCGTCTGGCCCCCGGGCCTCCCCCCGAACCCTCGTCGCGGCGGTCGGGCGCGAGCTCTGAGGAATTGCCGGGGCGGGTCGAAGGGCCTTCGCTGGGCCTGTCGCCGCCCCCAGCCTCGGGAAATTGGGTTTCGCGGGCGAGCGCGGGGCCCCCCGAGGGGCCCCGCGTTCGTTCAAATGTTCAAGCGCTTTGGCGCGGAACTCCCAGAGAGGATCAAAAAAAACATCCCCGGCAGCGACCGCACTCGTCGGGCGAGGAGCGCCTTGCATCTTTCTCATCCGAGGGTGCGCGCGCGTTGGCTAGCGGGCGTCGGCAAGGCCAACGAAGTGGAACCCCTCGCAGATTTCGCCCTTGGAGAGTTGATCTCGGCCCCGCTGAGCCCGTCGATGGGGCAGGGCAAAAAGACCCCGAGCAACGCAGTCGAGGTGCCAGAGTCTTTGTTCGCGGGCCCTTCGTCGGGCAAGGTCGTCACGATGCACCTCGCCCGGAAGATGGATTTCCCATCCGACAGTTCTCTAGATTTCGCGGCGCCGCACTGGCGCGTCGGCGTGGCCGCGCCCAGCGACACCGTCAACATGCCCGCCAGGGCTTTAAGGGTTGACCAGTCTGACAAAGACACCTAGGTGCCCGTTGGTGGCCCCCGCGCCCCGAGTGCGCGCGTTTGCTTGCCAGCGCAGTGCGGTTCCAAGCCGATCAACGTCGGCTCGTTGCCATTTGAGTCTGCTTCGCCCCCCGAGGTCGCCGCGACGCCATCGGCCGCGAGCCCGCAGAAGGGAGCTCGGCTTTAGACCAGCGCGCGCAGGCGCGCAGTCGACCAGCTTTCTCTCAGCAGCGCGCGTTGCATAGCGGTGCTTCTCGCGCGGCGCCGCGCGCAGACCGCGTTCGCGATCAGACGTCGCGCGCGAGCTCCCCTCGCCGGTCGGCGCGCGACAACTAACAAAAGCCAGCTGCAGCAGCATCGCCAACGCCATCCCGATCATTCATCGGCCGCCCCCTCTCGTCACCCTCCATCCTGCTTCCAGCCCTCCTCCTGGCGCCCTCGTCGCCGCGACCCCCCCCCCCTGCTTGCTTCGCCCATGGCGAATTGCGTCGCAGGACCTCGGCGACCCCCCATCGCCCGAAGGGGGCCGCGCAGCGCGCAGACGCCGCTCGGGCGCTCGGGGGGGGGGGGGGGGCGGCGAGGCGGGGTCGGGGCGGAGGCAGCGCGGGCGGGGGCAAGGACGGGGCGGGCGGGGGGTTGGGGGGGGGGAGAAGGAGGGAGAAGAGAGAGAGAGAGAGAGAGGAAGAGAGAGAGAGAGAGAGAGAGAGAGAGAGAGCAGAGCGAGAGAGAGAGAGAGAGAAAAAAAAAAATAAAAAATAAAGAAACAAACACAGAGAAAGAGAAAGAGACAGAGAAAGAAAAAGAGGAAGAGGAAGAGAAAGGGAAAGCGAAAACAGAGAAATATAAAGAGAAAGAGAAAGAGAAATAGCAAGAGCAAGAGCAAGAGAAATATAAGGAGAAAGAGAAAGAGAAAGATAAAGAGAGAGGGAAACAAACCACAAGAGAAAGAGAAAGAGAAAGAGACAGAGACAGATAAAGAGACATAGCAAGCGAAAGAGAGAGAAAGAGAGAGAGAGAGAGAGAGAGAGAGAGAGAGAGAGAGAAAAAAAAATAAGAGAGAGAGAGAGAGAGAGAGAGAGAGAGACAGAGACAGAGACAGAGACAGGGACAGGGACAGGGACAGAGACAGAGACAGTGACAGAGACAGAGACAGGGACAGAGACAGAGACAGATGCAGAGAGAGAGGGAATAATACTAATAATAATATCTATATATATATAATAAATAATATATATATATATATTATAATATATTAAAAAAAAAAAAAAAAAAAAAAAAAAAAAAAAAAAAAAAAAAAACAAAAAAAAAAAAAAACGGGGGGGGCGAGGGGGGCGAGGAGGAGGGCGCCGGGAAAAGGAAGCGACGACGACGAGGGGGGGGGTGGGAGTGGGGGGAGGGGCCCGAACGACTCACCCCCGAGGCGAGTCGTCGAGCCCCCCCCCCCCCCGCCACCTCGGCGGGGGAGGGGGGGGGGGGGGGGGCGCCGCGCCGCGGCGGTCGATTGGCGGGGCAGGGGGTCGAAGCGGCGGCGCATCGAGAGCGCGACCGCCCCCAGGGGCCCGAACCTTCAGGAGCGCGACGACGGGGCGAGCCACGCCCTTCATGAGTTCATGGCTCGGCGCCGCAGCGGCCCAGACGGGGGGGCGGAGGGCTCGGGGGGCGCCGCCGGCGGTCGCTGACGTGCTCCGTGGCTTTGCTGGAGATGGGCCTGCATGACGGGCGCGCGGTGGCGCGCGTCGCGGCGCGCAGGTCGGCGATTGACGGCGCCGCGTTGCTTGGGGCGTCGGTGTCAACGCTGGCTCTATGGAGGGGCCGCGCTGCCTTCGCGCCCTGCAGGTGGGGCCTGGGGCCGGTGCTGAATTCGCGTAGACGTCGCTGTCCAGCCCGCGCTTTCTGGCGCGGGTAGCTCTCGCACCCCAGCCCGAACCGCCGCGTCGTCACTGTCGCGCCCACGCCGCGGAGGGGGCGAGTAGAGGGGCGGAGGTGGAGGGTGGGCGGCGAGGATGAGGGGCAGGGGCGCGCGGCGCCTGGACACAACGACAAGGCAACCCATTGGCGCAGGCAAGCTTTCTGGAGGGTGAGATGGGAGACGGCGGGCGACTGATGCAGGGGCAACAACCGAGCCCTCAAGGACGGGGGCGCGGGCGCAAAGTGGCCGCCTTCAAGGGCCGCGTTGGGGGGCGTTTTTTTTTCTCGGGGGGGGGGGGGGGCAATCGGCGCGCATGGCAAAGCCCCCTATCAAGATCCATCTAGTGCGCCCTGGCTGCGCGCGGGGAGATTTCAGGGGGCCGGCATGGGGCTGCGACGTGGAGGAGAGCATTGCAGTCGTAGTGTGCGCGGCGCGCGGGGCACTGGATGTGGCGCAGCCTCTTATTCTGATCAGGTGTTCGAACCTTGCATGCGATATTCGATCCACTTGTTCGCCCCCCCCCCCCCCCCCCCCTGGAGGTTCGAACGCCAGAGTCCAGCATCGCTTGCGAGGTTCGCGCGTGCGCGCGAAGCGCATCTCGTCAACGAGAGACCTGCTGGACTCCATCTTGGACGTTTCAGGCCCGAGCATGCGCGCGAAACTCGCCCGGGGCGTTGGACAATTTTGTTCGAACCTCCAGGGGGGGGCTTGAACACCTGGGTCGAACGCACCAGGCAGGCGAGGTTCGCACGCATATCCTCCGCGAGCTCTGACAGCTCCCAGACCGACGATCGAGAGTTCGAAGCGCTCGCAAGCAGCTTGCGTCAGCGCCGCAACTCTGAGAAGGGTTGCTCACGTGGCCACCCCCTCCTGGCCAATCTCACCATCCCATCCTCTCCTTGCCCGCTGCCCCTCCTCCGTTGACTCCTCCGCCTCCTCGCCCCCCTCCCCCTTGCCGCCGCCGTCGTCCCTTTTTGGCCGCGGGCGCACGCGGCCCGCGCCCAGGCCTCGCCGCGCGGGCGCCGCTAGATCTTTCGGACCACCCGCTCACCATATGGCGACGGCTGACTGGCTAATCCAGTCCATCCAAAGCTCCAGCTTTGTTCGTGAACGCCCAAGTGACAGCTGACCTGCCGCTAGATCAGCTTCTGGCTAGCCGGACGAACCAGCTGCTGCTGCAATTCGCACGGGCTCGCGGCATCTCTACGGCTGGCGCTACCAGTGTCTCCCAGGCCCATCTCCTAAGGGCCCTGGGCCGCCGGGCAGAGAATCGACTCGGCGGGGCCCCTCGGCAACGCTACGGCGACGGTGGGTCCACAAGGCAGCAAGCCCTATCGGAAGGCCGACCACCTCGAGGATTTCTTCACGCAGAAGCACTGGGTCCTGTCCAGGTCCACGGGCTTCTCGATCGACGGCGGCCATGATGCACCGACTGGACATGCCTGGCCCGAGCGCGCAGCTTCTGAAACGAGTTGGGCCCATCTCGGCGGCGTGGCACGCGTCCGACTGCGCTTCTGCCGACGACAAGCGGACGCGGTGCTAGCGCATCCAGAGCGAGATCTAGAATCGCGATCCCGCCCAGACCTACACGCGCGGCCACATCAAGTTTTACCCGCCGAGCCCGACCTGCCTCGCCGACGCAGTGGCGAAGCGCGCGTACGGCGAGGACGACAAGCCAGTGGCATTCCCGCTCGAGGCGAGCAGTCTGCTCTCTGCGTTGAGCAACATTGGCTGCTGCAGCGCGCGCAAGTCGCTGAAGCCGGCGCCAATTGCGCACCCCTTGCAGCATGCCCCGGCGCCAGCAGCTCAACGCACTGTTGGATCCCGCGATGCAGATGGTGCAGTTCCAGGGCACCGCGACGCGACGCACGCCCCATGGCGCCGCGCCCCGCGCCGACGTCGCCCGGGGCGACGGCCGCGCCCAGCTTCTTGGCGCGAAGCCGAATCGCAAGGGCTCCGCGACCACCCTCGCCCTTGCTGC